TTCCTTGGGTCGTGAGAGGTGCCAGAACGGGTGTTTCCGGTCCAAAGTAAATGCGACGCTTCTCTGACGGCATGAAGGGAGGCTCAAGGAACTGAGCACGGTTCTCTTGCATGTCGATCTTCGCTTGTTCGTTTGGTTCAACAAGCTCGCCCTTCTCGCGAACGGTGGATCGCTGGTGGATCGCCTTCTCCAATTCTGCAGACACTTGGGTGGCCCATGTGGTGTAGGCATCAGCCCGAGGGGTGTCCTCGCGCTTTCTCGTAAGCGCAATTTTGTCCTGGTTTGAAATGATGTTGACAATTCCATCGGGAGTTGCATTGGCCACACGAGGCCGAGCTTTCTCCATACGCTCTGCGTCCTCCAGCAAAATCAACTCCTTCTTGCCGTCTTCCGTTTCTCTCTCAGTTGAGTGCGAACCAACCATGCGACATTTCCAGCCGGAGGAACATTTCCCTAGCGCTTCGTAGACGGGGCAAATGTTGTTCAGGGTTGTAAGATCCTCGCGCTTATGGTCTTTCAGATAAACACGCAAGTCGTGCTCAAATCGGCATTTCTCGCCAAACTGGCACTCTCCAGCGGCAAACTCGTTGGCAAACATTCTCGTGCTGCAAAGGCCCTTCGCATCTTTAGATGTACCATAACTGCGATTGGTGTTCTGGCCCTTCTTCTTCTTTCCCTTGTCCTTCTTTCCGCCATCACGGTCATCACGAGGAGCAGCCTCGGCGGCATCGTCGGGGCTAGTCTCTTCTGCAGGGCGGGGCTTCGGTGTGATTTGGATGCGATATCTGAATAGCGAAATTTAGTATTTTGCGATCCTCGAGGAGGAGGCGGACATACTCTGCTTTAATGGGTGCTATTCCCCTGTCGCGCATATCTACATGGGCGGGTTTGGATGGTTCATCCAACCGTGCCTTTTTGGCTGGAGGCTCGTCCACGCCCGCCGCGCCAAAATCATTTGCGGCGTCGCGTTTCGGGACCTCCATGTCAGGCGCAGCAACGCTGGCCTCCGGGGCTTGGACCTTTGTTGTTTCTGGCTCCATTGTATTCCAGGGGGAAGAGCGAGCTATTCAGCAAACTTCGCAATCAGTGTCGGCGAGGAACGCTCGGTCAAAATTTCGCGATGCGTTTGCACTGTTTGAGTCCGACATAATTGGCTATAGTTGCGGGACCGTTTCCTATAATGGGCAAGCGCAAACTCAAATCCTACTGCCCCGCCCATTGCCTCGGGCACCAATGTGGCACTGTTACCACCCCCGCCGTCTCCAACCAACCCCCCCCCAACCTGGCCTCCGGCGCTGTGACTTCGGGCGCTCTAGCCCCCGGTAATTCTGACATCCCCGGGCCGTGCTCCCTCTCGCCGCAATATGTTGAACAATGCATAGTATTCTTCCATGTTATCCATCAGGTTTTTTCTGTCATGGTCACCATCAACCCATTAAGCAGTTACACTTAGTCCAATAATATCTATTGGATAATATAGACAGTCCCTTGTATTCATTCTCATTATACATTGAATCAGCTAACCCAGCCAACATTAACCTTTCATACTTTCATCACAACTTCAACCTCTAGTTTCTCACCACATATACTTTCAAAGCCGTGAATACCTCGGTTCAATTGGGCTTGTAGCTCAGTGGTACGAGCGCTCGCTTTGCATGCGAGAAGTCCGGTGTTCGATCCACCGCTAGTCCATATGTTTTTGTTCTCCAATCTTCTTTATATATATATATATCGCAAGGTGCGCCAGGCGCTTGTGATATGATCTGCACGTAATAAAGTTCTTAAAAGAGTGACATAAAAATATAGTTATCTAATAATCAATCCTATTAAGACTATATAAGCGGTTGACTACCTAACTATCTTCTAAGCTTTCTAGCCTTTTCATTTCTATATATGTCTTGAGTTGCTGGACTGCGGGCTTCGGACCTGGGCAAAATTGAGTATTTCTAGTTGAAATTCTACATATTCAATTTGACCTCTAAATTTCGATAGAGTGAACAGGCACAAAGACAGCCCTGAAACAGAGCATACATCTTTCTGCTTTTTGGTGGTTTTTTTGTATATATTATGTATGTAGTACACTAAACAGCATGTAATAACTGGGATGAATCTTTCACAAAGAATATCAACTCAATAAAAATAGTTGAACTGTCTAATGTCTTCATACTTAGAAAAGAAGCCATATTTATGTCTTTCTTTCTTTCCATCGCTGTAGGATCATCTACCCCTCCCTAAGAAAATGTGCTTTTTGTGACAAGAGAACGAAAAAGGAGATAGGAAATGAGCGGTGACAGCGTTAGATGCTGGATTCTTCTTGATTCCATGGTTCATACATGGGTTATATGCAACTTTCTGCGAAACAAGCATTGTTGTTGATTCCTATTGTGTGTTGTACTGCCCTATGACATCTTATTCGGCTGTGGGCGGCAATTGCCGCGTATTCGGCAAAACATCTCTCCGTTACACGTCACCTCGTTTGCCGTGAGAATATCGAAATTATCAAAATATGCAACGTAGAGCACGTGCTGTGTGTACCCGGTGCCACAGCCGCAAGGTACGTTGCTACCCATTAGCGCCTTCAATCGCGACTAATATTGATCAAGATCCGTTGCGACCTAGAAGGGCGGCCAAATGGCAGATGCAGCCGTTGCGAGCATGAAGGCCATACGTGCCAGTAGGACTTCCTAATTATATGATACCCCGAGGCATATAGACTGACATGGCAGACCTCACATTGGACCTCGAAAGCAAAGGAAAGCCCTCCGCTCTTCACTTTACTCGTCAGATACTAGTCTCCAGTCGCCAGGCCGAGTAGTCCCAGCAGTGGCACAGGAAAACATAGCACAGGAAACACCATCACCCTTTCGTCCTCTTGGCCACCGGGATATAACCTGCCTGGGTCCTGGAAATGTCAACGGCTCTCGACAGCCAGATTCCATCGATGGAAGTCAGCTTATTCTAGATATAAGTCAAGCCTGTCGCCGTCCGTCCCCCGTCATCGCCCAAGCACTTACCGATTTCTATTTCCGTGAACTCTTCCACTTTGTTCCAGTTCTGGACCGTGGGCAATCCGAGATAGAAACCTCTACTTTGCTGCAGCAATGCCTGTATTTTGCGGGAAGTACCATGCGTCAAACAGCAGGGCCAGCGGAGTGGACCACCTTTGCTATCTACGGGCGGATCAAAACTTTGCTCTTTTTGCACCACGATCCGGCTCCGCTAAATATGCTTAGCGCGCTGTGTATTCTCAGCACCTGGCTTCCATATTCCCCTGACGTGATAGTTCTAGACAACCCGTGGCAATGGGCTGGTATGGCAACCCGACTCGCGATTCAGTTGCATTTGCACGAGGACGAGACATACAGCAGATTAGAACATCCCGGAAGAGCCCGCAGAATGTGGTGGTATCTCTTCATCAACGATACTATGCAAACGGCTTGCTGTGGGTGTCCTGGAATGTTTCCCTTGGAAACCTCTGTACCACTGCCTGTGCCTAGTGACTTCAAAGACCCCGATCTGGGATCACGCGTCTTCTGTCAGTTCGCAAGTTTTTGTAAATGCCTTAGGAAGGTCTTGGACCTGGCCAGAGTTGATAATACCACACCAGAGCAGGTGTACTTGAACCTGGACGGACTGAGGGTGTGGAGAGAACAGTTGCCTCTCGAAATGCAATTGTTCGACATCGAAACCAGACAGCCATACAGTCGCTATGTTGCTGAGCTTCATATATTTTACTTGGTGACTGTTATTTTGACATGCTTCCTTGGTCGCCGGGACAATCCTTCGTTGTTCAAATACGCTTCAATGGCTGCTTCATCCTGTGTTTCTCGGCTATACGAGGAGATTCTTTATCATGAGGATGTTCAATACCTAATCCCAATCCATTCTTGGGCTAACCTCGTCGCCGCAATCCCACGAGCTTTCAGTGACAATGATGCATTGAACCCAGACCGAGACGAGGAGCTCAGAATCAGCAAGCAGGTACTGGAAACCATGAGTGAAAAACATGCCTCCGCTGCTTTGGTGCTCAGCAAAGTCAACGGTCTCAACAACATGCGTGCAGATGCGTTCCCCACCCAAGCTGATAATATGTGGGGTGCTCTTCCGGTGCCCGGGCAAATGCAACTGACTCAGCTATTCCCCTTTCCCTCGAGCTTTTGCCCTATGCTTGGGCTGCTAAGAACTGCGGAAAATGGTGGAACTCAGCCACCAGATTCGCTTCTTAACTTGCCCATGGATATTGATGATTGGCCGATAGATTGGTCTTTCTTCTTATTTGACGGTCCTATGAGCTTCTGAAATATTGACAAAATATGATTCAGCTGCGAATTCTGACTCTAGTTTAGGCCCACTAGGTCGCCCGATCGCAAGATTGAATTGCAGTGCATATGTCGTTGATTCATAGATTGATTAAACATTAGGCTCTTGCACAATGTCATACACGTTAGAGTACATCCCAAACAAGTCCAGGAGGATTGGTTTCACTTTAAGTTGGTGACACCCCGCATTGTCAATTCCTCGGCATTCCAGCCTTGGGGGCTTCCACCCGTACTATTTCTACGTGACATTGAATATCATATATTTCATTGAGAGGGCGAATAATTCAAAGCTGTTCTAAATAGGGAGAATGAGGAATTTTGTTTTCAGAGCACAAAACTTGCGCTATAGATTGGACTAAGCATATCACTCGCTGGCTATTCAATATTCGAGACTTGAAATCCCTTGCAATTATGTAGCTAGAGCATTATCGGCGGTTATCAGTATAATTCAAGCGTCTATTTGTATAAGTTTGCACTATAAGCTACGGTCAATTAATTCTCCCGACGGGTGAACTCGATGTGTGGAGTCTCGGCAAGGCTGTCGGTTAAACCTCAGGTTTGCCGCTTTCGGCTATATAGGTCCATGTCATTTCCTTTAAGGATGTTTTTTTTTATTGAACATAAGATTCTCATCATAATCAATTCTTCTAGCTCATTCATTACCAAAAGGAAAGCTGTACGATGACATCTAATCCGAACACCGGCGGTGTCCAGTTGACCTTCCTTACAACGGGAACGGTACGCATTAGACCCTCAATGTGCTCGCAACCAGTGAGCAAATTCGCAATTCTTCGACGTCTCCGATCAATTTGTGACAGAACATGGACTGAGCCATTGCCCGTTGGGGTATTTCTCATTCGCCATCCTGAAGGTCTCTTCCTCATGGACACCGGGCAATCTCCATGCTGCAACGACGCCGGATATTTCCCGAGACTCGGTGTCCTCAATGGATTACTAAGCGAATTCACCATCGAGCGTCAAGATGGAGTCCTTGAACAACTTCATAAGTTCGGAATCAAGGCGACCGACCTCAAAGCCGTGATTCTGAGTCACCTCCACAACGACCACGCGGGTGGATTAGAGGACCTGGTTGCGGAAGCACCAGATCTGCCTATCTACATCAGCCGTGAGCACTGGAAAGCCTTTGGGGAACATCCTCTCTTTGCAAGCATCGAGGGAGCAACACCCAATCACTGGCCAAAGGAATTCTCACCAAAGATTGTGGATCTGCAGGACAGACCCCTTGGACCCTGGGCGCAGTCCTATCCCGTGACAGAGGATGGTAGAATTGTTATCGTTGATACCTCGGGACATGTTCCCGGGCATATCAGTCTGGTGATATACGGTGACGGAGAAGATGGGCAGAGTCAGGTCACATACTTCCTCCCTGGGGACGCAACATACGGCCTGGAGGGTTTGGACAAGGAACAGCCCGATGGAGTTAACGACGATCCTATGCGTGCTTACCAAACGTTAAAGACCATCAAGCAATTTGCGAAGGAGACTGATGTGGTTGTATTGCCTAGCCATGACATCAACACACCTCGCTTGCTTGCTGAGCGAGTAGTCTACCGCCCTCAAGAGTCAGAGTGATTTTGTTCTAATATCGTGTACAAGATTGTATGATCAGGAAGGCTATGTACTAATATGCATCTAGAGGGAATGAATTATTTTGCCTTCGAATTTGTGTCATGTCTGTAATATCTAATTGACTAAATCTATGGATAGTTCTCAATATGAATCATCACAATATGCTGTACTCGTTCAATTAAGCTGCGTTCAAGAGTAACTCTTAGGAACACATGTCTCGCCCTCGTTCATATTAACCCAGTTCCAACAAGCCTCCCAAATAGCCTCACACTTTGCCTCGTCTTCGCTTACACGCGCAGGGGGTTGAGGCTTCCTTCCATTGAAATGGCCTCTCACTGATGCGTACTCAGGGGCCAAAGCCAGCGCTAGGACATCTCGGGCCGAGTCCGAATTCGACCGAAGTCTGTAAGTAAAAAGCTTGATCACTGGAAGTAAAAGCGCGAACAGCCTAAATAAGATACGAGTGACCGAACGCTGGACGACATGGGCCCGGGAGTTCACAAGACCGCCTGGGTCCATAGCAGTCACGGTGATCTTGTTGAATTGCGGATTCTAGAAACAGACTTAATGCCATCCCCTAGATTTCGACAAAGTTGCCCATACCTGTTGTAGTCGTTTGTTTAAACTCTGCATAAACATGACATTGGCCAGCTTGCTGTTTGCGTATCGTTGCCAGCCCATATCATGTTCTGTTCCAATCTCATCTGCACCAGGGTTGACCAATATATCGAGACTCTCATTAGAGGGAAGGTCTGCACCCAGTTTGGAAAGAGCGTTGGAGTGTTCAGGATCGTGAACTTCAGAGCTAAGCATGACCACTCGACCCGTCCGAGGGTCCATGCTCCGCAGAAGTTTGAGAACCAGCAAAAAATGCGCAAGATGATTGACTTGGAATGTAGATTCTAACCGATCTTTGGAAAATTGCTGGCCGTCTAGCGACCATGTGAAGGCATTGCAAATGATGGTGGAAATGGGTGGAAGTTCGTTAGATTCCACCAGGCCAGCAATTTCGTCCGAGAATGCTCGTACTTCCAAAGTCGAGTTCAGATCTACACTTTTAATCAAGAGCTTGCTGGAAGGATTCTGGTTTGGAATCTCTTGCAGTCGAAGTAACTGAGGACTTGGGGGGGATTTCGTTGCATTTCGGACAGTGCCAACAATGGTCAACGAGGGATGCGATGACAGAAGTTGTTGCACAGCTTCAAGCGCGAGTGAGCCGGTCGCACCGGTGATAATCACTGTGCCCACCATATTTGCAAAATTCTACAAAAAGAGGAAATGATTGAGTAGAAAGAAGTGTAGTAATAATGCTGTAATTGGAGATAGTGAACAAAAATAACCAACTACGACTATTGCCGAACGTTCGGCTAAATGTGCGGCAGTCAATCCGCCTAATTTAAAGACTTCAGTCTAGCCCTCGAAGGAGCCAAAGGATTTCGAGATACTTACACTAGTGCATCAATGCATCAATGCATCATACCGGATTGTTACGCCTTTTTAGTTGTCTTTTTAGCGGTCTTTTTAGGTCTATTAAGGTGTAAACATAGGGCGGCAAAAAGAAATACTTTATACAGGATATCTTTTATATATAACCTTAGTATATCTATAGAGACCAACCGAGTAATCCATCGGAATACCCCAAAATGGAACATAGCACTCCCCCACACAACCACGGCCCCACCCCGTCTTTCGCAACGCATCCGCCCCGCGTCTATAAAAGAACCCCCAGAACTCGACTTAAAACCACAAACCACAACCTCATATCAGCTTATAAAACATCAATCAAGATCAACCTAACACTAAACTCCAATATGGCAGAACAACCTAATCAGCCCCAACAAATGCACAACATCAACCACACAGACCTCCAAAATTTCGTCAAGCAAATCCTCATTGCAAACAACACATCACCCGCCCACGCCGAAATAGTCTCTAAATGCCTCGTATCAGCCGATCTCCGTGGCGTAGATACACATGGCAGCAATCGCATCCCCTCATACATGGAACGGATCCGACAAAACGCACTTGACCCAAGCGCCGTCCCAACAATCCGACAAGTGACACCCGCCGTCGCGCAAGTCGACGCGCACAATGGGTTCGGCTTTGTAGCCGCGCATGAAGGGATGAAGCTCGCCGTAACAATGGCCCAGACCTTCGGTATCGGGATGGTCTCTGTCAAGCATTCGAATCACTTCGGCATGTCCGCGTGGTTGGTGCAACAGGCGCTAGAGGCTGAAATGATGTCCCTTGTTTTTACGAATAGCTCCCCTGCCCTGCCGGTCTGGGGCGGGAAGGAGAAGCTGATGGGCGTCTCGCCGATTGCGTGTGGAGCGCCGGCCGGAGAGGGCAGACCGTTTATCTTGGATATGGCGCCTTCCATTGCCGCCCGCGGGAAGATTTATAAGGCGCTTCGGCGTGGGGAGAAAATCCCTACGGATTGGGCGCTTGATAAGGATGGAGGAAGGACGGATGATCCTGCTGAGGCCCTGCAGGGTGTTATGCTGCCTATGGGTGGGCCGAAGGGGTCTGCGCTGTCTGTCATGATGGATGTCTTCTCCGGTGTGCTTTCTGGGTCTGCTTTTGCTGGACATGTTACCAACCCATATGATCCGTCGAAACCAGCTGATGTGGGCCACTTTTTGGTGGCTATTAAGCCGGATTTGTTCATGACTATTGAGGAGTTCAAGGGGAGGATGGATTATCTTTATCAGCGGGTTGTTGATTCGGAGAAGATGGCCGGTGTGGATCGAGTTTATTTCCCTGGGGAGATCGAGATGATTACCGAGGACAAAAGATTGGCGGAGGGGATTCCTTTCGCCACAGCTGAGATTGACAGCTTGAATAAGGAGGCTGACCTGGTAAAGGTCGAACGCTTGAAAGTATAGACTACGCATGTACCTTGCAATATGAGAAAATTTGTATTATATATTGCGAAATCAATCACATTACACTACATATCGACTACGGAGCAGCTTCAAGGTAAATATATCTTCGCCTTGCATTATATCCTTAGCGCTTCAAATCAAGTAAAATCAATGTACTGACCACGCTACTGGTCCTAGGAAATAGACTATCGAAAACTAGCAACAGAACAAGCAAGCACAGGGCTGAACAACTAGCCGCTAGAAACATCCCACCTTAAATAGAGAAAGCCACACATTAAGATACAAAGACATAAATGAAGAGAGAAAAAAAGCGATCCATAGAAGAATGGAAATAATGTCACAATTGAATTATCGTTGACAAAGCCTCCCATAGGGGACCAAATAAAGCTAAGAGGGGACAATGAGAAACGAAATAAAAGAGGTTCAAAAGGATAATAAAATGCTCTGAACAAGAACACGAATGAGGTCTCACTTTACAGCCAGAGATAATAGTAACAGTAGAAGGGAATGCAAATCACATATGGGGGTAAAACGGGGAGAACAGCGAACAAAAGCAGAACATTAGGAAGCAAGGAAAATGTAGCTAGACAAAGGAAATAAAGAAAAAAGAAAATGCTAGATAATTAATCAAACACCCGATGGATGAAGAGGAATCGCTCCATGCATAAGAAGAGGACAAAAGCAGGGTATCACGGGGTATCCAAACAACCTCGCTGCTCTTTCAAGCAACTCAAAAGAAGCATGTGAATGATAGGGTTTGAATCTGCTTCCAAGATCAAAGCTTAAACTGCAAGTGCTTGATCGATCCAATCTCAGCGGTCAGGCCGTTTGAGATGGAATATTGCTTTTTATCTGTTGGTGAAACCGCAAATCAACGGTAATCAACGGTCGTCACCGGCGCGGGACTTGGCACGTCTTCGGAAGAAGTCCATGACTTTGCGTGCTGCCCCAGAGCTGCCAGAATGGTGAGACCCGTCGCGCTCATATTCGTAGGCGTCGGCGAATTTGCGGTGGTTTTTCTGCAAAACACCTGGCCCACGTCCTGATCGACCAACCTGCATCGACTGCCTAGGCATGTTGTCATACGGGCCGTTGTAATCCTCGTAGTAGCTTGGCTTAGACGAGTGGTCTGCGGAGTTCTGGTACACTTGCTCAGCCGAGGGAACTCCGAATGAACCACTCTGGTGATCAAATTGAGATCCCAGGTCTGCAAACTGTCGATCGATCTGCGCCTCGTAGCTAAGCGGCTCAGGTTCGGTGTGTACATCTTCACCGGGTCCCTCGTCGACTATTCCCATGGCATCTTGAGTGCCATGGCTTGTCGCCCGAGAACGACCTTGCGCCGGACCCGGGCCCGTGGCGGGGCGTTGCGTGGAACGGGGATCGACGGGACGAGGGATTTGTGAGGTTTCTTCGGGGGTTTGAGACCGGGTATTAGAGAAACCTCGGAATGAGAAGGATTGTGGGAGTAACGAGAATCGACGAGGACGGTTTTCCGCGCCAGCCTCGCTCGTCTTGCGGTTGTGGGGGTATTGCATCGAGCGGCGGGAGTCCATAGACATTCTAGAGCTCTCTCTTGGTAGAGGATCCTTCATGCTGACAGGGGGGTAACGTTTGTCCTGCTTGGTACGAGTGGCATTAGATTGCGTACGGCCACCCAATATTGAACCAGAACGACCGAAAAGCTTCTCGCCTAGGCTGGAGACAGTATTAGACCTCTTGTGTCCCTTTGGCGGCTCTTGTCGAGGAGTAGTATTGAATGTCGAAGGCAATTGCTGGTTCTGGGTGCTTGGACGACCTATAGATGTACTCGATGCCTGCGCAGGATCCTGTGCAAGTGCAAATTGCCTGCTCTTGGGCTGTGCTAGGCGGCCTTCTGTATTAGTTGCGGTAACAGTGGGGGCCACCGGTTGTCCATAGGAGCCTCGAGAAGGCAAACGACCAGTGTTTCCAAGGGAGTTCATAGATGCACCAGTGGCTGGTCGAGGCCCTTGAGGGATGGTATTCGGCTGAGACCCAGTAAGTCCCACGTTGTCCGAAGTCGAGCGCGGGAAATGTCCTGGGAAATGTCCTGGAAGTGGCTTGTTGAGATTGAGTGCCGGTGCATCTGCAGGCTGGTGTGCGGGTTCTGTGGGCTGTTGTACTGAAGCCGCAACTTGGGCTTCCGATGGTGCCGGGGCTCTGCTCCGTGATGCAGACGGCTCCACCGGAGGTTCTCCTCGGGTCGTCTGTGATTGAGGAGCAACATATTCGACTTGTACCGTCCTACGCTTGGCATCGCGGGGAGTCCTGGACTTTTCGGGCGGGGGGTCTTGAGAAACATCTCCAGCGTGATGGTTCAAACCACCAACGGCAGTAGCATTGGTCTGATGTGTCTTCGGTGGTTCGCGCACTGAGGCACTGCGGACAAGTGGCGGTGCTTCCTTTTGTGTTTCTGTGGATTTATGTGAGTAACTTGCAGCTTGACCATTTGCAAAAAGCAAATCCTTACCAGACGGAATCGTTGTGTTCGAAATATCCACAACGTTTGTCGTGCTGCTTGTGATATGAGAGACAATGCTCGAGAACTCGCTGAGCCAGCTGTGGCGGGCAACTTCGAACAAGTCTGCACGTTTCCGAGGATCGGGAACCAGTATCCGTCTCAAAAGATCGCGTGCATGTGGTGTTACGTATTCCGGGAACGTGAGAGGAGTGGTCACAATATATTTGTACAGAAGATTGATGTTGTCGCCATCTGGGTTCGCTGGGTCGTCATCGAAGGGTAGGTATCCCGCCAGCATGGCATACTAGATTTCACGAAGTTAGTGAAGTCGGATTCTCACGGATGTAGGGAAACCCATACCAAAATCACACCACAGCTCCACACATCCACCTTCCGCCCCGTGTATAAAGAATCGCTCACGACAAGCTCGGGTGCTGCATAGCAGGGACTACCACAGCTGGTCTGCATAAGATCGCCTCGCCTTAGCCCATTTGCGCCAATCTTGTCCAGGCGCTTCCGTTTCACATATTCTTTGTTGGTCAAGTTGTACTCGATTTCCTCGTCCAGAGGATCCACCGGGTCGAAGGTATTGGCGAATCCGAAGTCTGTAATGATGATGTTGCGATTCCGATCGAGTAGCAAGTTCTCTAGCTTGAGATCACGGTGCACAATACCCTTTTTGTGCAGGTAACCAACCCCGGAAACCAACTGAGCAAACAGTCGACGTGCAGAATTATCCTTGAGATATCGATTATTTAAGATGTAATCAAATAGTTCACCTCCTGACGCGTATTCCATGATGATACCAATGTGGCGATCGGTTTCCACCATTTCGTGGAGGCGCACAATGTTGGGGTGTGCCAGCTCACGTAGAATCGCGATTTCACGGTAGATTTTTGGTAGTCGGCTGGGGTTGGTCCCCAACGTGTCTCTCCGGATGAGCTTGATTGCCACCTGGATACTGCCATCGCGCTTCCATCCCAGCTTGACCTTTCCAAACTCACCCTCGCCGAGGGTTTGACCAAGAATGTACGAGCCAAACGTGGTTTCCTTGCGCTTGATAACGTTTCCATTATTGTAATCGTGGCGACTTCGAGGCCCACGAGCCTCCTCTGTACCGTCGGCTGTAGCTGCACTGAATCCGGATGAAGATGCATTTTCTGTGCCAGCTGGTCGCACCTGTTCTCTCTCTTGGTCGATAAGATGGTCATGGGCCAGCACAGAATTGGCTTCCGCACTTGGTTCTTTTACAAAGTTCCCCTGGCCATGGACACTGTCGATTTCTGCCTCGGTGGGTTTTGTGACGGGTACGGTTCTTGATTGTTGCACTTCGCGAGATGTCTCCTCAGGCTGGTGCCTCCGTGATCTGCCATTTCGGTCATCGCGCGTGCGATCACGACTTTCTTTTCGATCCGACCTGCTCTTTCCTTGGCGAGAGCTACTCGTTTTATCTGTAGAGGTTCCATTTGGACTGCGGCGGCTGTGATGGGTGGAAGAGGTCCTCGGGGGAGGAACCGGCGGAGTACCTAACATATCGGGATAGGGTGCGCGCGCATTCTTCTGTGCGGGAGATGATGTGCTGGTTGATACTTCTGAGGCATGAGCGGGGAGTGGCACGGCCTGCTGACGGGAAGTGCTCATAGCCGAAAAAAGCTGTTTGGGACCGGCCTCAGAAACGGCTAGTAGAAATCAGCAAGCTATTCACGAAATGGAATGGGTTTGATCGAGGATGGGTAAGCGCTGTGAGGCAAGTTGCATTGCGGCTGATAGCATACCTTCGTCTAGTAAATGCGGAAAGCCTCAAGAGACTTGCTGCGACTGTCCGAGGCAGCTGTTGCGGGTACTCGTTGACAAGATTCCTGGTATCAATGGCGATTGGTACAATTGGCGCGAGGGAACACAATGCTCTGCCGGAGGGGTCTGGCAAAAGTTTGGGGGGGTTGGGGCGACCGGTCGCACTCGCCAGATGACCATTCAAAGCGCAATCTGTAGACATTGAAATATCCGTTAACTTGAGTGTTCCCCGGATTCTTATCGATAATCGCCAAAAATGTGCCCTTTTTAACCAAGAATGGGGGGGCGGGCAACTGACAGCAGGAAATCGATCGGAGGAATGGGGGGAAACTAGCTTACGACCAATCGCGCAAAAAACCGTTGGATGAGGGTTGAATATCACCGAGGACACCAGGTCGCCACCTTCTTCAGGTGTAAAGACGCGTCGAGAAACAACAAGTTTCTCGAAAAACGAAAGGAAAGCTAAAGATACCTGCACTGCAGTACTCCAGAGTCCCCCTCTGTGGCAGACCCACGATTTGGGGCTTTGGGGTCGCACGTTGTCCAAGAAATCGAGCAAACACGGTAACAAATGTCTCAGACGCGATTGCGGACCTGATCAACAGAACTCTGATTCAATTGCGACAACAGTTGAACATTGTCGAAGATGGGATACTGAGGGGCGGACAGGGGCCGCGAGGGGAGGAAAAAGACGGGAAGCACCGGTCGGGGGATCTGAGTCGAAAAAGGGGGAAGAAGATTCCCGAAGAACAGAATCAAAGAAACAAAAAAAAAAAAAAAAAACACAAGACCAAAAGAAAAAAAAAGCCCAAGGGTAGAGCAGAAGGCCGAGAAGGTGAAGAGGGAAAAAGAGGAGGTGAGATACGAGTGGTAGTTTCTCTTAGTCTGGGGGAGGCGGGTCTTTGGCTCTTGAGCCTTGGATGATAGTTTGGCTGATATGACCACTTGGATACATAGAAAAAAAACGAATTTCTATTTAATTGCATACAAATTTACAATGAGAGAGAGAGCCAGCTATTTCAATATTATACTAGTATTTATAATAGGTCTACGTTTGTTAGGTCTTTTGAAATAAAGAGAATCTATACATATACATAAGCCCGACGCCAGCTACCCGAGGACTTTGTGGGTTATGATACATCCAGGATGGTGACAACAAAGACAAAGTAACTTATTCCTGTGCGCGTATGGGGTGGATTCGATATTAATTGCCCATATATTGATCGTGAGTCCCTTGCGCCAGTAGCTAAACCTGTGCTAAAAAGGGCTTGAGTCCCGAGGGATCCTCACATGTGCGAAAGAAGGGAGAGAAAGTGTACGGGAGTATAATGTACTCTGTGGGTTTAGCAGACATAATAATAGCATGGATTAGGCGCTAAAAGTGTAGAGGGCTCGGTTTCAAGAAAAGAAAGAAGCAAAAAATAGGGGGTTGCACCGGCTGTTTCGAATGCCCATAGAGTGGACACCTCAGGACGATCGTCATTATTAACCTCTCTCAGAACAGAAGCTCAGATCTCGATATTTCTCTCCTTCATTGGTCTAGCTAAATTATTTTATATTTGAATAAATCAAATCAAATGGGATTTGAATTTATCATGAAAATGGATTTTAAGATCAATGTCAGATTCAAAGGTCCAGAGATTAGCGGTGGAAAATGGTGTGCAGTAGCTCGGCTCCCTAGCTTACTTTGGCTGACAATTAGCGCCAGCGTATTGCTGTTTTTTGCTTCGAGCTTTAACTCTTTGAAGCTACCGAGAACCTACTCCGTAGGTGCTCCGTACTTCCATACTCCGTACAGTATGTACCCAGCCAGAATTGATTAAAGAGGGGCCATAGCCACCCGCATGAACCCTGGAACCATGGCCCCAACCACGGTAGGTAGAGCTAGAACCATGGTTGGATCTCGATCTAAAGCAGATCTTGTTCAACTTCAGGAATTCCATTTTCAACTGCAACCTTGAAATCTTAATCTACATGGAAAGTACTCCGTACATGGAGTATATGCGGTTCCTGAATAGTCCGGCCTGCAACACTAAACCTTACTCTATCTTTTTATGTACTCTATCCACTTACCCACAGTCCGTCTCCATTTCAACATATCTGCATGCAGTAATTCATGCTAAATCCACTAACTCACCTGGGATTTCCTACTTTTGTTGACACCTCCGGATCACCAATAATACACCAAATACACCGGACATAACATCAAAGCCTTAAAATTATCATTTAATCCCTGATAACTCTCATTGGGCAAGGGGTCAATCAAGGTGGGCCGTGGACAACTGTCAAGCGATGCGTTGGCACTTTTCGCCTCTTCAACGTTGTATACCATCACCCAATCAATATCGGATAGATCGTCTAGCGGAACCTGGGCAACGCATATGAGCACCCTTGTCCAATGGCTATCATTCCCGTTGCCCACATCACACCCAACCACCCTCACCTCCTTGAAATTTGTCTGGTGACTAGACTTCATATAAAAATCAAATTACCGCCAGAAAAGACGGTCTACTGTGCCCTCCCTATTTGGGCGCTGTGCTACCCAGCTAGAACCCAAATTCTGTCCAATGGTTCTTGAAGAATCGAAAAAGCATCGGGTGGCGATATATCTGTGCATAAGATGCGGTCGGAACATTATTGCGGATATGCGAGGTCACTATTTAGGCATCGAGAAGGTAAAATAGACAAAACTCAAGAAGCTTCAAGCTTCAAGCCTCAATCAAAAGATGGGAAAGATGGGAAATCGTGCCTGCCGGGCCAAAGTCACAAAAAATGAAAATAATCCAAGCATCTCAATAATACGTGATCTAGTTCCACTGCAATTGCCATGCGCGCCAGCCCCCAAATTCTTACCGCTTACCCCCTGACATGGACGACGCGTTGAGGGACGTTGTTCCCGACGCACCATATGCAGGAGGCGGTGTGGGGTTGGGCGATGCACGCCGCACAACGGGGTCCCTGGCGCTCAAGCCAGAAGGGCCCGAAGCAGACTCCACAGCGTTAGCTGGGACCTGGCCGCCGTCTCCACCGCCAACGACAACCTGTTTGCCGTCGCGCATTTTTCCAACGACCATGCCCTTGGCGACAGATTTTAGAAGAGCGCGGCGACTGACACCCGTGGCGTCGATGTAAACCAATCCAACGTTCTTGATTCCACCCGTCAGGTTGGTTGCGACGGAGCCTGCCTCATTGCCGTAGCGGTGTTCGATCATGGAGCTGGCAGCGCCGGCTCCGGAGAATAGCATATTCCGGGCGCTCTGCTCGATGCCGTCGGCCAGGGTTGAGAATGCGATCATTGATTTGTTTAGCACACCGGGCTTGTATTCTGGTGGCGGGTTGCGCCGGTCGATGCCTTTGTTCCGGCCGGATTCTTGCTTGCGCGCCAATGACGCACCTATGTTCTGTGCAACCCTCCCAACCTGTCCGACTGTGCGAGCAGAAATATCCGCTGCTCCGTTGGAGAAATTGCCAACCTTGCGGATGCGCGCGTGAGTAGCGTCTGAAAATTTCACAGGCTTGACATTCGGCTGCGTCTTCTTTTGGAAACTCTCTGCGCCGCTCGCGATGGCACTTGCCAGATATGTCGATCCAGTCACGATCAGGCGAGATGCTGTAGCTGAACTTTGAACGAGTGTCGAATTCTTATACGCCGGGTGCCGGGCCATCGCTAGGTATTCTTCGGAGACATTGGAGACGCTGACTTGGTTGCCTTCACCTTCTGCAGGGAGTTCAATTCCTACCGGTCCTGTTTGCGATATATTAGCCAGTTGCTGATTGAGGACGATTATAATTGAACACTTACTTTTAGAACCAGGTTTCACGTCGGCATCCTCAACTACATTGTATCCATCTCCTAGCTCTCCGACCACACTGCCGTTTTCTTCATCCACGAGTACAATTCTCCCATGTTCATCTGCTTTCTTTGTATCCGAGGTCCCAACGTAACCCTCGCCGGGTGCGTAGTCGGCCGGGTTATAAGCAGTATAATCCTGGGCCTTCGGTTGCGGGGCGCGCTCGAGGAATGCCGTGCACTGTGCAAGGATAGATTCAAAGGTATCAATATCATCCTGAGACACATTGTTGGGGCCCGTGCCAATGCTAGGGAACTGGATACGAATGAAAGCGCCAGCATCGGGACCCATGTCCCAGCGGGGAATCAAATAACTGTCGGGAGGTTGGTGAAAGATCTGTGTGGTCGCGGGTATGGCAATATCGAGCTCAGGAGGAAGGTATAAGTGAAGATAGAAATCCTCTTCCGGTGAATCTTCAGGCCATTCTGTCCCAGGGCCAGCAGTGGGGGTGTTGGTGGGAACCATTAGCAGTGATAGGGTTTGAGGGCCGGACGGCGTGAGGTCCTGCTCCTCCCCATCTTGGATATGGAAAGCACGGATATTATTGACGCTGTATAGCAGACGGGGATCATTTGCTGCGCTCGCCATCGTGTTGGTTGCTGGCACAATTAAAAACAACTTGCGGCTTTCAAGGTTGCCCGCAATTTAAGGTGCTGATAACACGTTAACACGCTTATGACGTCGTGTCTGTAACAATGGTTGATAAGCTGAGAAAGAGGCTTGGGGACAACTCTAAGAAACAACAAGAGGAAATCAAGATCGTTGAAATAGGAGAAGAAATAAATCTATTTTCAGACCTAAGCCAAGGAGGGGCTTCTTATGAGATCATATCTGGGCGCTTAGATAACTGAGGGATGACCCCGGGCGGACGGGACAGAATGAGGCTGTGCGACGCCACACTATATCAGCACCGCCACATATAACCTAGCCACACTTAGCGGGTCTTGGGAATGCATCTGGTTGGCTAACATCGCCCATCCATAACATCACCTGGACAGCAAAACTTGCCTCCCGAGGTCATTCCTCCAGATGTCCTCATTCCAGATACTATCTGATTTACATCTAGAAAGTCCCTCTGCCTACGATGTGTTCGAAATCTCTCCGAAAGCACCTTTTCTTGCGCTATTGGGAGACATAGGAGTTGTCAGAGACGCAGGCTTCATTACATTCATTCAAACCCAGTTGCGCCAATTCCAAATAGTTTTCTTCCTGCCAGGGAACCATGAGCCTTACAATTCAAGCTGGGAGGAGACGAAGCAAGTTCTCCGTCAAATCTCAGCGTCTGTCGATCATTGGCGTTCAACTACAGGACAAGATGGACATCCGCAAACTATGGGCTCTTTCGTCTTCTTAGATCAGACTCGCTACGATCTCTCACCAGATGTGACTGTACTCGGGTGCACACTCTTCTCGCGAGTGAGTGAGGCACAAAAGGAGCAAGTCAGCTATGGCCTCAATGACTTTTACCACATAAGGGACTGGACGGTTGACGATCACACGGCTGCTCACGAAGCAGACCTGGGCTGGTTAAATGTACAGGTTTCTCATATCACCGCCTCTGAGCCTCATCGCAAGATTGTGGTTTTTACGCACCATAGTCCAACCACTCAGGATCCACGAGCAGTTGATCCAAGGCACGTAAATAGCTCGCTGTCCTCGGGTTTTGCCAGCGACCTCTCAGGACAGGAGGTTTGGAAGAGCCCGCTAGTAAAATTATGGGCATTTGGGCATACGCACTTTAATGTCAATTACATTGAGGAGGGCACCGAGAAGATGGTCGTCAGTAATCAGCGCGGCTATTGCTTTTCACAGGCCAAGGGATTTGATGGGGAGTTGGTAATTCGAGTCTAATACCATGAATTCAAAACCAATTCGCACTGTATGGAGTCAGGTACAATATCATGTTGAATGACAATAACCTACTTGCTTCACATTTTATATCAAAGGTATATATCGAAAACTCCGCTTCAAAAATTAAGGGTTTGCCGCTTGTTTTCCGCCTTCTATCTAACAAGGTGCGTTGAATTATCAATGAAAGATGAAGATCATAGACTATGAGGAATAGATGAACTGCAGGCCCCACGCAGGCTTGGCGTTGCGCACCTGGGCAACGTGATGGCCACTGACTTTGAGATTGCTGCCTTCAGGGCTGATAGCCCTGGAGGTGTTCCACTCTCTTATAAATATAGCACTAGCTGCAAAATATTCTCAAAATATTCCCAAGATCTTCACAAACCATGGCTCCCCTAACAATCATAGTCACGGGCAAATCATCCGTCACCCACGCCCCAGAACGAGGTACCCTCAAATTCTCAGTAAAGGGAAATGGCCCCGAACAAGACGAAGTCGCCAAGGAAGTGGCAACCTCATCGACCAACCTACAAAAACTGATGACATCAGCCTTTTACTCCTGGACCGATGATCATTCCGAGCCCCCTCTGACACAATTTTCATCCACGAGTATCAAAACCTGGACAAAGTCAACAGATAGAAACGAACGGCCCGTGCCAAACCCACACCATGCCAGTATATCTTTCAAAGCCGTCTTCCGTGACTTCGCCAAGTTGAATCAAGCGATCGAAGAATTGCTGGTTTATCCCAAGGTGGAAATCGATGGTCTGGATTGGAGTCTTACAGACGAAACTGGCAGCCGACTGGCTTCGGATGCGCGCAAATTGGCATTGCGCGACGCTATCAAACAAGCTGATGACTATTCGGAAGTGCTTGAACGCTCTGTTTTGGTGGTAGAAATTACCGACGAAGGAATGAGTCCGTACAGGGCTACTCACAGGCACATGATGCCCGCTAGTTTCGGTGGTCCTGCTGGGGAGGACCCTGCGCCGCTGGATCTCACGCCTCAGGATATTGATGTCGAAAGTCAGGTCAATGTCACTTTCAAAGATGTGTCGGCTGCTTGAATTTGTTCTTTCTTTAGCTTAGCTCGGGTACCACGATCATCGGTTACACAGAATGAAATTGATTCGAGAAGACTTCTTGAATATATGATATATCCGATTGTTATATTCCAATATTTATTTTATCCTGAGTTAGCATTAAAAACCTCCCACATGAGAGTGTCGAAGTCCGGAGCCCCGCTGAAGTCCATAAAGCCCCCGGGCATGGAATCATGCAGCCAACTCATAGAATCAACATGCGGATCGTAATCATCCATACAGGAGTTCAGCGGCAGATTTTCGACACCAGTGTCAGTACGAATAGTAGAAGGCAGCTCCCCCCTCTCATTGGCAGTCTGTAGCCGCTGTGCTCTTTCTGTGCCGGAAATTGATTGGTTCTTGCCTTGCCTGGTCGAGCTTGAAGGGGCTTCTAAGCTTCGCATCTTGATAAGTCTCTGAACAGTCGCACTGGATAACTCGTGGATGCAATCCCTTGCGCGCTTAGCCTCGACCCAGTATTCTCCAATGCTGCTTAGGATATTCAGGCTAATGCTTGTGTCGGCGACCACCTCATCAATCTGCACTTCGGAAGCAACATGTGGTAGTCTCCATAAGCAGTGTAGCATTATCAGTGTGCTCAAGAAGACAGAGTGAACAATGAGTCGACTGTATAAAAGAGTTTCCTGTTTATAAAGCTCCCCAAACCCACGAAGAAGATCTACGGCATGCTGGAAACATTGCGCGAGCGTCTCTTCCGATGGATCGGGAATCCCGGGGCTAGGTCTTAGCACCAGGATCATCATTTCGTGATACTTGGTTTCGCATATTTTGGCAATAGCATCGGCCCCAGGTTCACGGGGGATGCCTGCCAGCCAAGTTTGAAGGCGTTCGATCATCTCCTTCTGCCACAGATGAATGTCGGGTACCGGTGGGTAGGCATATCGGGGAGGATCTCTGCAAATGCTGTGCATGACATATTTAATCTCAGAGTTGATGCGGGCGAGTTTGAACAGGTGGATAGAGAATGTCATGTGAGAAGTTGTGCGGTTTCGCGAAGTTTCGTCACAAACTGACTCGGAAAGATCATTATCAGAAATATCTGAAGGAAGCTGAAGGTACTATTAGCCAAAGTTTGTCGAGGAAACAACGCACTATCAAATCACTTACCCGAAGCTCACATGCTTCATCTCTCACCCCGATCGGTCGCCCCATCATCGTCCCTAGCGTACGATCAAAGCTGTATACAACCCAGAAAATGCGAGTCCGCATTTCCTGCTCCAAGAACGAGATGGAGAATGTCGATGATGCACGAACATCACGCTGAAGACCCAGGTCGATAAGGGAGCCTAAACATTGATAATTCAGGCTCCAGACATTGATGTCGCACGATGGATTATGAAGCCCATATACCATTAGCAAGAGTAGACTCTGTAGTCCTTCTAAAGAGCCATCGGCACAGGCACGTTCGAAATACTGGGTAGCTGCTGTATAATACCCCTCGGCCGGAAGAGGAATTCTAAACCGTCTAGATAGATCCGAGGCTGCTATTGCAAGCACCATGTAGATATGAAAGCCATCGACCGGGTTGGGGTATGCTTCATTGTTATACATTCTCTCAAGTCTTATCATGTGGGACGATTCGTGTAGAAACGGGTATACGAGATGCACCGAGGCGAAGTACTTTGAAGTCAGCTCCACGGCGTCTTCTTTGCGACCTGGAAGCGGTGCTGGGCTGTTGAAAAATTCGGACGAAAGTGACATTGGCTTGTTCGCATTGCCATTATTTCCTGATGGCCCAGTTCGCCGGCCAGCACTCGAAAATATGAGGTTTGCTAGGAAATATCCGCTTGACGGACCAATGTATCGCGGCTCTCCTGAGGAGAGAGAAACAAGCCCAATTTCATGGGCCGGTCTTGAATGCGTCCGAGATGGTTGCGGGTCTGCTGGCCCGTGTTGTAGATGGTGAGGTGTTATTGACCGACGAGTGCGAGTGCCCTGTGGTGAGGTAGATTCAACCTGAGTGTTTTCCACTGTAGGTTCGAGTTGTGAGATATCCAATAGGTCCACTTGCGGGCCATCCTGTAGCTGGACCGCTGGATCCTGTTCCTTTACTAAGGACTCTAACCACTGCACTCGCTTTTGCAGATTCGTAATGTACCTAATCAACAGTCAGTATCAGAAATGACGGAGAAGTGACCCAGCCGATGATGATACGTACGTGCGATTAACCTCTTGTTTACCATCGTTCACACAGGCTACATTGGCCTTTCTGCACGATGCGCAGCGGGGAAGATCCCCGTCACAGCGGATTTTCCGTCGCTGGCACCTCCGACAGGCGGCGCGGTTCCGAGACCGCCGGGGAGAGTCCATAACAAAAATGACAGGATCGCTTGTGAGCGTTGGATTTGCTAATTCATGAATATTACAAGAAACCCAAATTAGCAGTGTCACTCGGAATGAACAGTCCATGCAAAGAGGAACAAGGTTGGGTCGAAACGGGAAACTTCCGCCGAGGACGGATGGCATCCGTCGGGCGCGTCACTTGAAAAGAGAACTACATTCCGATCTCTGCCAGTCTATAACCCCACCATTCTTTGATTCTTAGTAAATATAAAACTGATAATCAAAATGGTTCTTGTCCACATTGGTATGGTTCATTCGCGATAATAGCCAAATACTTAATTAACCTTCACTAGTTCTCTTCAAGTTCCGCGCCGACGTCGGGAACGCGGTGAAGCAGGAGTTCCTTTCTCAAATTAAGACACTCAAGTCTTTGTCTTGTGTTAAAAGCCAAAGACTTGTTGCGGGGGGCCCCTCAATTACAACTCCAATTGAAAGGAGCAAAGGATTTCAATATGCTCTAGTGAGCTACCATGAAGATCGAAAAGCATTGGCTGAGTATCAAGCTAGCAGTGAGCATGAAAGGTATGAATTACCCCTTGAATCCTTGGATCTAATGGGAGCTCATGTTATTTTAGGGTCACAAGCACATACTTTATTCCTTATAAGGAGGATTTGGTTCGGTTTGACTTTGAGACTGATCAAGCCGACGAGACGCTACTTGGGTTTTGATATATCCGATGCCAATCTCAGTTATAGCAGGAAATTTATGCAAGATCACGCTTCACGTGTTCTAGAGGCGCGGCGCAACATATACATACATCGTACATACAAAGTACCATGTGGAGAAAAGCATGGGTCTCGGTGGAGTGGGATGTGGCTCAAACGATCCCGAGTCCAAAGGATTGAAGCAGAAGATCCCATATAACCCATGGATATCGTTACATCCATTGATCCCAGCAAGCAGCGGTCATTGTCTTTATCGGTCAAGAATACTTGCTTTTAGCTTGGCAACAGTCTAAATCTTTTTACGGGATTCCCGTGGGCAATATTTATCAAAATGAGATAAGAGTAGAGACTAATATATATGGTGTTGCTCTGCTATATCCAACACTCCAAAATCCCAAGGTGTTTGCTTACTTCTTCAATCACGTCTTCTCCATTTTTCTCAGTAGAGACCCTTGCTAGGATGTGCTGATCAGGGCGAATCAGAATCCCTCCACCATTAACCAACTCATCAGCGAACCAGCTTTGCTTGACCATTTCAAAGTCCACTCCCAGGCGCCAGGTGTTGAGGGTTAAACCAATCACGTTGAAGTGCTTCTGCAAAAGTGCAATGTGAGAATTTTGCTGCTCCTTCCCCGAAATCAAGGTCCAAGAGTCGGGGCCACAGAGATCCAGGGTACTCCACTGACAAGCGCGAACCTGATCCCCGCCAAGCTCCTTGACATAGGACACATCGACTGGCTCCTGAGGCAGCGAAGAACGTTTGGCTGCCTGTGTCTCCGGCGAGAGGTGACCTGGGAAGCTGATCCAACCATGAGGCAAGCGCGCCCCAGGCACAAATTTAGGAGAATAACGGGAAGCATGAGGAGGTGGCTTGGTAGCCCCATACACATATCCAATATGGAGCTCCAACTATGAGCCAGAGCGTGAGCAAGACCGCCCTTCTATAGAAACGGGAAAAGGCAAACGAAGTCACTTACATTATCAAAGTGTTCCCTCTGTCCTTCAATACCTGCCTCAACCTGTGTGCGCTGAGCCGGATCCGCCAATGCTGCCATCATATCCTTTCGCGCTTGCATAGCATCTTCAACACCAGCGGTCTTGAGACTTTGCAACAGTGCAAATATCTCCTTGCCATTCTTAACGCTCTGCTTAGAATAGGAATCCGCAACACCGCGTCGTTCGGCAGTGTATGTCGAAAGTATAGATGGTGTGGCCACTCCCTGGTGAACCAAAGCAATTTTATAAGCCAAGTTGTGAACATCCGCAAGACCACAATTCAAGCCTAGTCCACCAGTTGGGGGAAATGAGTGAGCAGCATCTCCAGCTCTGAAAGAGACCAAAACATCAACAAGGAACACACAGCGGCAATATCCAATTATAAAAACTCACAGGAAGATATTCCCCTTTTGGAATGTCAAAGCAATTTGTCGACGGAAGACCCAAGGGCGATAACTCAGGATATCGAACGGAACGTCATCTTTACCAATAGCACTGCCGATCTTGGCCCTGCACATATCTTCTGTCCACGACTCAACTGGGCACTGCTCGACGTCTACCTGGCTAATATGTACCTGGATCCCATCAAGATCGTAGCCGATAATAAAGCCCGCAGCTATAGGGTCCATTATCCAGTACAGCATACCGACACGGTCACCAACGACAGGTCGTAGATTGGCATTGAAATGAATGGTCATCATTGTCTGGTCTGAGTCTTCACTCTCAGACTCAATACCGAGCAGCTCGCGGACCTTGCTTCTACGACCATCACAGGCTATGAGATGACGGGACTTTGTGTGATAGAGTTGTCCAGTCGACCGTTCCTCAATTGTCGCTACGACTTCATTTTCAGTCTAGTTTTCTGTTAACCGCTTTCCTTCATTAATACCAAACAAGGCCCGTGTACTTACCTGCTCCACGGCATGGATACTGAACCCCTTGATCAAGGTAACGTTGGGATCCTTTGCAATAAAATTGGACAATTCTTGCTCTAGGGCTGGTTGGGGTATATTATGAATCATCTATATGTTTCAATTGGTCAGTGATACTACCATCATGCGCTCACTATAGGGGAAAGGTACCTCTGGCGTGTCATTCAAAACCGCAGGATCCATACGCTCATACGGGAGTCTGCCGATCGCGTCTCCGCAAAGATTTGTGAGAAAATTCACCGAGGAGCTATCATCTCGTGACGTGCCTAGCTGACGCACATGCTTCTCTCCTAAGTTAAATTGACGCAATATTTCCAAAGAGCGAGGGTTGATCGCGTGGGCTTTTGGAGCAACCAAACGCTCGGGATAACGCTCGATGATCAATGATTGAACTACGCAGATCATGTCAACGAGATGTTCCTACCGACTTCTCCGCGAACATACATACCACCGAGTCGAGACAGAAGGAGAGCCTGCAATAGGCCAGTAGGACCTCCGCCCACAATGAGCACGGGCACAGACCTTGGTAAACTGCCAGAGCCACCAGTCTGGTGGGATACGAAGTCTCGACACGGAGCCATCACCTTTGTTTAATGGATCGCGACTTATCTTAATTTCTCCCAGAATAACCGGTATGACACTGGCTAATGTTTTGGCTTCACTTTTCAGATGCAGAACATATGCCGGGGATATGTATGGTGGGAAAAGCTCAGTGGAGGGGAGGTCCCAAAATCGACCAGAACATCCATCGAAACAGGTGTAGATCGGAAGCTAGGGGAATCCACAGAAATATAGTAGCGTATTTGGGGGCGAAGGTGGGATGAAGAGAAGGTAACTATCTTTCACACGCACTTAGCCCGTTATTACGATACACACATACATCCCTGCATAGCGCAATGCTAGTTGTCGGGCTAGACTTGTGATTGGTCATCTACAATACAAGGGTGCCGTGCAAGACACCAAAGGAATGTATCAGACTCGTTTTTCGTTGGATTTCTAGTACCGAGTACATACTCTGCTACTAGTCTTATGTACTCGATATTGTCTCGGACTATAAATGAATCGCCACTATTTACTATACTCCATGTATTAAAAAGGGGATTCCCGCATTGTTCCACACGAGGTTGTTCAATGTCATTGTCCCTTCCCCCCGTTTCAGTCCTCGACTCTCATCCTTATTTTTCCACTTTATATTTTGGAGGACCCTCGTTGAAATTTTCAATATGTCGGGTGGCTCACCACACGGGTCTGAGAAGAAAGTAGAGCAGATACATGCCGCACCTGGAACAGAAATACTGTTCGATGGTAGCGACAATGGAAGTATTTCTGAGCGGCTTCACCAGATGAAGCATCGTGAATCAGGGGATGGCCGCATGTTATTGGTCCCGCAACCTTCGATAAACGATCCAAATGATCCCTTGAACTGGTCCACTACGAAGAAAAGCTTGACTTTCTTCAATGGTTGCTGGTTCGCGTTTATGGGTGCTATCACAGGTCCTATCATGGCAGCTGGTATGTATTTATTATCTATCATATCGATTATATTGAGACATTCTAATTAGTATTACAGGCATGATACAGCTATCCGCCACCTTCGGCAAGTCCCTCCAGGAACTGACATATGCAAACGGAGCTTGCTTGGTCAACCAGGGTGTATGGAACTTTGTTTGGATGCCGTTTGCCGTCAAGTATGGCCGCCGTCCCGTCTACATATTCTCGAACTTTCTCATGGCAATCGCCTGTGTCTGGTTGGCCGTTGCATCCACTAAGACCTACACTTCTTTTCTAGTTGGACGCGCTTTCCTAGGCGCTTTCCAAGCGCCCATTGAGTCAATTGTTCCATCCACAGTGACCGATATGTTCTTCTTGCATAACCGTGGAGAGCTCATCGCCATCTACGGACTGTCTGTCCTGGGAGGTAATGAGCTGGGGCCTATGTTCTCTGGATTTATCGTGCAGGCACTTGGCATGGACTGGGCGTTCTGGATTGTGGCCATGTTTGTCGGTGCTAGTCTGATCTCCATGTTCTTCTTGATGCCAGAGACCAAGTTCTGCGGACCCCGCCCCGATCCATTCCAAGCCACCACAGCCAACGCGGATAAAGACCAGGTGTTAGTTCAGGAATCAAGTACAGTTCCCAAAAAGACCTTCGTGCAAGAACTCAAGTTCTGGAACAGCGGAGATCCAGACGTGAATCTCCTTCACGTCTTCCTCCGCCCATTCGTCCTCTTTGCCTATCCCACCGTCCTCTGGTCATGCTGCATTTATGGAATGGCTCTTAGCTGGAACGTCATCCTCGGCGCATCAGTAGCGCAGCTCTTTGCACCACCTCCGTACAAATTCAATTCCATTGGCCAGGGTCTCTTCTTCTTGTCGCCCTTCATTGGATCCCTTTTCGGTGTTTTTTTCTCTGGTCCAGGAGGTGATTGGATTGCAACCTTCTTCACCAAGCGCAATAACGGTGTTCGTGAGCCCGAGATGCGACTACCAACCTGCTTATTGGCAGCGTTCCTCACGTTCTTTGGTGCGCTTTGGTTTGGACTTTCCTATGAGCACCAAATGCACTGGGCAATGCCTGTTGTGGGGGCTGGTATTCTCTCGGTAGGAAGTCAAATGGGAACCACGCTCGGAATGAACTACGCCCTGGATTGTCACAAGGAGGTAAAGAACTTGCCTTTTCAGCTTCGACCCCACTCTTATAGTGCACTCGCTAATCATTTCCATTTTTGAGTTTTCAGCTTTCCGTCGAGATTATGGTCACCATTGCTGCCTTGAAGAGTTGCATCGCGTGGATCTGGACGTGGGTGATTAATGACTTCATGACCTCTAGCGGCGTTTTGAGTGTCTTCATGACAGTGGCGGCTATAAACGTCGTGGTGTACTTGATCTCCATTCCCTTCTATCTCAAAGGCAAGGAGATCCGAATTTGGTTACACCGGAAAGATTTTCTCCGGGCGGCTGGTATCATCTAGGAATAGGTGGAGTGTGTATGTGTCCCAGAGTTTACACAATTTTCCTACATATTTAGACACTTGATATATACATGGTGGCCTTACCGTGTCTTTTTGGATGTTCGATTTAGGTGTCTTTTTAGGTGTACACTAGCTATAAAAAGCATACTTTGTGCAAGAAACTATTTTTGTTTAACCTTTGATAGGTAAATGTATGTATCCCGCTTTGACTATATACGTCTCAACTTTCAGGTACACCTTCCTAATTAGAAATCTACCCCTTCTGTTTTTCTCTATGTATTATGCCCGCTTCATTAATTCTAGTTTACACAGTAAAAAGGCGTACATTTTCATCACAAAAAAAAAAAATTATTCTTTCTGGTTCTTGCATCGAGCTAGTCGACAGGATCATATGTTGGTTTTTATACATCCCCCCGTCCCCGTTTCTATCCCTATCCCGTCTACATAGCTTAGGAACTACCTCGGTGCCCATCTCGGGCTCACCTCGGGATTTTCCTCGGAGCCTGTCTTGTGGGGTCTGTCTCGGCGCCTAGCACGGCGGTAACATGGTAGAACATACTATAGCGTCCACAGCGGGATCTTTAGTAGCTGTGCATGGCAAATGCCAGGAAAGAAAATTGCCTAATCCCAGAAGCAGAATAACATCTTGACTCCGAATCACTGAGGTCAGTAAACGAGATGGGGAACTCAGGAACTACCACGGAGACCAACCTCGGGGTCGGAATTGGAGAACAACTATTCTAGTTGTAAAGACGCTATCGTGTCGATGGAGAGCCTGAGTTAGGACGCGGTACAGAAAATTAGGGGGTTACAATTATCAGTCTATATATTTTTCGCATCCCTGATGTTTTTAGTTTCAAAGTTCAACAGGAATGAAGCGTATCAAATTCTAGAGCGAACAATATTAATATTTGTTACCCTATTTGGTTCTCGGTTATATTTCGTGCCTTCAAACTGAAACTAGGGTCTCATTTTCATTCCTAAATATCCACTACGGGCCATGTCTTGGTGGGATGGCCAGCCGCCCTGGGGTATACAGAACTAGGCAACAATGACATACTCTACGATTTTGTTTCATTGCAATGCCCAAAGTCAAAGCTAAGACCTATCAGTAACCACTTTAACCAAGCCTCAGAATTACTTAAATACATAGACCCGTGTCTATTTGCAAAATTATGTCTTAGTTTAACGGTCGATTATCGTCTGTCCCCATTATGTTTCGTTAAACTTACCATTCGTGAAGGATCACCGATTTCTTACTGGTTAAACTGATCCTTATAATCTTGTTTCATCAAAAATATCCACATGCTATACCGAGTCGTACATATTGCACATCCTTCTGCCGCCACTTCGGCTCCTGCAACGCCCTGTAAAAAAGACATAGGATTCCAATTTATTCACGTCTACCACCGCTACTCAAAATATCACACCAATGCAGAGCTAGGGATCTGCCCTGGCACGAATATTTTACCTGTTGTTGGAAGTCAATCAAAATTAATAAGAACTCGGCAGTTTGCGCTTTAGCTCAGCGAGGATTGGTTTAGATGAATTGTGCGAATATTTACTATTCAGGGCTCATCCCTGGAATCGGCACCCGGCCTTTTACTATGTGACTAGTCGTCTTGGTAGGTAATTAACTAATTAACTGATTAGTTGGCTTTAATTTATTATGAGCGGACAATTTCTCATTGGACGCACCAGGGTAGAAGACCCTTCAGTACAATCCTTCCAAACTGTGAGATACCCTGGTGCCTGTATTGAAAATTCGCGCTTCTTCATAGCAAGTATCGACGAGAGGGAGAGGGTCGGTCCCTGTTCAGCTGTGAAGACTTTTATGGGACGAAACGCATTTAGGCGGTTTCTTAGTGGCCTGTATGTGATTCTGGAGATACCATGCGTATGGATCCAGTTCTGACTTGGCCATTTTAAATTTTGCATCTTCTCTTGTTTTTACGCTATACTGTGTAAGAACGTGTAAGCGCAGTACGTCCCCGAAGGCCAGAAATGGGCCGAAATAGTCGTTCTGAAGTCATCCTCACCGTTTCTTGGATAGAAACATGCATTGGCTTATTCATTTTTAGCCTTCGGTTCCTGAGTAACTGGAAATTCGTGGAGCGGTTTAGATGGGACTTTGCTATCGCTGGTTTGACGGTGGTGAGTGTGACTTTTTGTTCATGAGAAGTTTCGATTCCAAGGCATATGCTAACGAGTGTCTTTTCTGACAGGCAACCGAGACAACTGCTCAGGTGTTCCTGCAGCTCTCAGTCAATGCTGGGATGGGCCATCACTTGGATGATCTGTCGAATTCACAGATAGTTACAGCACTGCACTGGTCATGGGTGTTCCAGTTACTGGCAATAACTGCCAGTATGCTAGGAAAGCTTGCGATTCTTGCCTTCCTTGTCCAGATTCGTGGTCGGCATGAGAAAAAGCCGTGGTTCTTGATCATCCTGGGTGTCCTGATTGGCACAATCAATACCACTGTTCTTGGAACAATTCTGGGTCAATGCAAGCCAATGAACAAGTTGTGGGATGATAGTGTTGAAGGAACATGCAACCCGGGGCGCAAAGTAAATCAGAACTATTCGTTTTTCCAGGCTAGTAAGTTTTCACATTACATCAACACAGTCAAAGGTTGAGCCTTTGCTAACGAGCCAGGCTTCAATGCACTTAGCGACGTCCTGTTGGCAGTATATCCAGTTCATCTCTTTTGGAAGCTCCAGATGAAGCTGCGGATCAAGATTGTCTTGTCTGTCCTCATGGGACTGGGCTGGATGTAAGCATTTCCCACCAACCACTTCAGCTTTTACCGAGCTAACATCCCCCCGAATTCAGAGCGGCAGTTTGCTCCGCTGTCAAGACATATGAGCTAAAAGCGTTGACCGAAACAACAGATATCACTTGCAAGTTGCCGTCCACAATTTCGATTTGAAAAATGCTAATTATCATGTTTCTAACAGACGCTCAATCCGATCTCCTCATCTGGGCCTCGACAGAAGCTTGGATCATCATCATGGTCGGCTGCGTACCACCCACCCGACCACTTATGGACAAGGTATTTCAGCGACTGGGGCTTAGCTCAAAGAAAACGCCGGCTCCTTACCAGTATCATGGCTCGAGCGGACACGCAGCACATGGCACAAACAAGTCCAACCTGGCCAGCCACTCCAATCTTCAGTCCAACGCATATTGGGGGAGGAAGCAGCCATCTGAAGATGACTGCCCGAACTGGATGGAGTTCAACACGTTTGGTGGGACACATGGAAGTCAGGAACATATCGTCAACGAGACAAAGGGTGTTACAATTAGAACCGATATTGAGACTCATTTCGAGGATGTGGAGCGTCACAGCGGCCGGTCGCCAGGGGTTACGCATATCTGCTGAGTATCCGATACGTGAGCGAATATAGCCTCTGCTGTGTATTCAATCCGTGGGTATAGACAAGATGTTCAAAAAGTTGTTCAAAGGTGTTCATTAGCAAAGGTATGTTATATTCTTGGTTGATACTGATAGTGGACCTGTTCATGGCAGCTGAGCATGTACCTATATTTTGTATTGTAGATAGTTTAATGTGATGCCAAAAACATTGAGATTGACAATGATATCTAGAATATTCTAAGTGTGCATCGCCATGGCATACAACGTACATTCATAGTTGTTGTTCCCTTCGTCCAGGTCAGCCTAGGTTAACAATGACTAGCCCCACATCCCCGGATCCCCAACGCCGCCGATAACCGACCTCGGCTCACAGCAACCCTCGTGATTATGACCTTTACCTCCCTCCCGAGGTCACTTTTTCCCCCTTCCTTTTCTTCCTCATAGCATATTGAGCCTATTATCCCTTATTTCACAATGGCTTCTATTATTCGCGCGTTGCGGCCTTTGTCGCGTAACCCCTCAGTCCGCCTAGCGGGCAAACGACTCGCTGCTGGCCGGCCCGTACAGAAGTACCGTCTAGCCCAGGCGCGCACCAATACTATTAAAATCGTGTTCGCTAACGGATTTTCTCCATTACAGCGCATATGCATTCTCAACCACCCCCCGCCGGCGGGAGGTCGACCTCTCCGAGCTAACCCCGACGCCGATCACCCTCCTGTCCGAGACGGAATCACTCATGGCCGACTCGGTATCGAAGTTCGCTGTGGAGCAAATCGGCCCGAAGGTACGGGAAATGGACGAGGCCGAGACCATGGACGCGAAGGTCGTGGAGCAGCTCTTCGAGCAGGGCTTGATGGGAATTGAGGTGCCAGAGGAGTTTGGCGGCGCCGGGATGAACTTCACCGCGGCGATCGTCGCTATCGAGGAGCTAGCACGCGTGGATCCTAGTGTCAGCGTGCTGGTCGATGTTCACAACACACTGGTCAACACCGCAATCATGAAATACGGTGATGCCAAGGCTCAGCGTACCTGGCTGCCCAAGCTGACTACCGGCACTGTCGGCTCGTTCTGTCTCTCCGAGCCTGCGTCTGGCTCTGATGCCTTTGCGCTCCAGACTAAGGCTGAGAAGACCGCCGATGGTTATAAGATCAATGGCTCTAAGATGTGGATCACCAACTCTATGGAGGCTGGTATCTTCATTGTTTTTGCCAACATTGACCCCAGCAAGGGCTACAAGGGTATCACTGCTTTCATTGTTGAGAAGGATACTCCTGGCTTCTCAATCGCCAAGAAGGAGAAGAAGCTCGGAATCCGTGCTAGCAGCACTTGTGTGCTCAACTTTGACGACTGTGTCATCCCCAAGAGCAACCTTCTCGGCGAGGAGGGACAGGGATACAAGTACGCCATTAGCGTGTTGAACGAGGGTCGTATTGGTATCGCCGCTCAGATGACCGGTCTAGCTCTGGGCGCATGGGAGAACGCTGCACGGTAAGACTTTTGCATGATGTAGACCCGTATATGAATCCGATCAACTGACCACAATCAAAGGTACGTTTGGAACGACCGTCGCCAATTCGGCGAGCTCATCGGAAACTTCCAGGGCATGCAGCACCAGATCGCGCAGGCCTACACTGAGATTGCCGCTGCCCGCGCTCTCGTCTACAACGCCGCCCGTAAGAAGGAGGCTGGCCAAGACTTCGTCCAGGACGCCGCTATGGCTAAGCTGTACGCTTCCCAGGTCGCCGGCCGGGTGTCCAGCTCTGCTGTCGAGTGGATGGGTGGCATGGGCTTCGTCCGTGAGGGCATCGCTGAGAAGATGTTCCGTGATAGCAAGATCGGTGCTATCTACGAGGGTACTAGCAACATCCAGTTGCAGACCATTGCCAAGCTTCTCCAGAAGCAGTACACGAACTAGACGAGATGAGGTTGAATGCCTACCTCAATGGCTTTGTTTATAAATGGTTTGGTTTTATGCACTCTGCGGCGTATTTTTTGTTTCTCTTATGGATATCTACCCATCACCCCCTGTGGGGTATACAAAACATGAAGAGCCACCATGGGCCATCCCTGTGATCATTTCGAATTCGCTTCACTGCGATCTATAAATGCCAAACTGTGTATACAAGAGTAAAGGAGCAGCGCAAATGATGGCCTCAATCACGCCAATGTGCTCAGCCTTATTTGTATATCCAACTCCAATGAGGGTGTTCCGGTGTAGAGTTTAAGTTTTCGGCTGACCGGTCGCTCATCGAGTCGTATGTTGTAGATGGACCGGACGCGGGATCGGATCTTCACTGTCAGCTTACTCTATTCCCTCGGCACGGCTGTTATTTCCGTTCTTATTTTTCCTATTTTTTTTCTTATTTTTTTTTCTTTCTTTTTTGGGTGGGAAACAATTTCAAACACAATTTCCGCGACGATTTTGGAATCCGAGAACAAGTGTTATTTTGAGATCTATTGAATGGATCAGTATGCGTGCTCGGATCAAGGTTCTTGAATGGAATTTACATGCCGTGAGACTGGATCGAGGGTTCCACATCCTGGCCTCAACTCGCAAGACGTTGTGTTTCCGCCGAGGATAGGATGTCCTTGAATTCCCCCCCCGGTTGCATGGAACTTGCATTGTTCATGACGGAGGCACCCATGGATACTCGTATGTCGGATCCGTCTGTTGCGATTGAGGGATTGGTTGCGGGTACGTCGCTGTGGAGGGTTGGTAGACTCGGGCGGGAGTTGGTTGAGAAACGGGACTGGCACTCGACATGGAAAGTGATCGGTTGCTGTAAGCGAACTGAGAGAAAGACGTTTCGGATTGTTGCTGAGGTGGGCGTATTGGTTGTCCTTGATGCATTTGACCATCTATGGAATATGGCTCCATACGATTCGGGAATTCCGCGTCGGAGGCTGCGCCGAGCGACGGCGATCTTGTGGACGGATATGGGTGTTGCCAGTCATGCTGATGAGACTCTCGACGTGATTCTAGAAAGCCCGATGGTCTCTGAGTGTGGGATGTTGCAGTGAAGTGTGGCGGTAGCAATGCCCCTGTTGTTGGGATGCCCGGTAATGCACTACTCGAGGCATCGTCCAAAGACCACTCACTTCGAAACGGAGCCATCGGTTCGTTAGATGATGCAAACTCCGGTCGGCCAGTCAAAGAAGCAACTTGATGCTTCAATCGGATCACTTCGTTCTCCAGAAAGGCATTGTGTTGTACGACTTCATCGAACTGTTCGGTTTGGAGCCGCATCTCCGCAATCTGTGACTGGAGCGTAGAGACCTGAGCCTCAAGTTGTTCTATGTGCTCCTTGGTGCGTTGACGAATGGAACGCTGAGCCTCTCGATCGTTGGCACGCTTTCGCTCTAGTTGTTCCACTGAAAGAGTCGAGACTTTCCTTGTCCCCGATCGAGACTCACGCCTCTTCACAGGTGGTTCATCTTGAGAACTCATGGTTATTGGTTTCCTCGCACAGCCGATACTCAAGGCAAAGCTCCCCTCCGTTGCCCAGAACCTTTCAAAGAGAACCCCCCGCGGGCGACCATGGACCCAGTACTAGAGCCTAACATGAGGGGAAGTGGTGGATCACTGATTTTGAAAGATCGTGTGTGGGTGGCTCGAGACTATTTCCGGGCCGAGCAGGGATCAAGGCAGAACGTGACAGATCGTGCGTACCCAGGGCTAAACTAGTTTGATTGACTATACAGGGGAGAAGAAAATAAGATGTTTGCGCATGGTATAGCTATGGATACTTTCAGGGGTTCATCATAACCTTCTCGGCAGCGGGCTGGGCCTTTGATAAGATCATAATATTGTCAATCCCCAACACGCTTTCGCTTTCTCCAGATTGATTAACAAGACAGGCAAATCTCCCGATGATGCGGCGAAAGTCAGACCCTTAAGCGCCCAATAAGCGTGGAGAAATAGACGAACCGTGTGGATAGTTAGGGAGTACGGGCCATGGCTATAGCGTTCTCTTTTCAGCCACTGTGGTGAGCCCCCATTCGCGAGGTCCGCTTTTTTTTTCTTTCGATTCCTACCAAGATGAATGAGCTACCAATCGAGGGCCCCACGCACCGTAATGATGAGCATTTACTATATAATCCTTTTTCATTTTTGAGGCCGAGCGCTACGAGTTGATGACTGTTGATCTATCAAGTTGGGGGAGTGGAAGGGGAGGGGGGGTAGGAGGGAACAGAAAAAGCGCTAAAATAATGTTGTAGGCCTTGCACCATCAGGCATTTAGAAGCTATTGATCCGCGTCCTTGTGGAGATATGGAGGAAAAAGGCCCACAAGAATCCTTTGGCCCCCCGAAGTCTGAACGCCGAGAGTTCCCGAAAATTCGCCTGGCCCCTCCGCTTTTATGAGGGCCGTCGTTATCAGCCCTTATCCGCCCTCGTTTGCATAAAAAAGTTGGCCTTTCCTGATTTAGATGCATAACACTGCTGATTCATTCTATCATTAAATGTTATTTAACTAACAGTGCTCTAGCTTACAGCTTAGTTCTATAGGCCATTTCTGTATAAGCGAGAAACTTTATGAAATTCGGTTATATTATATTGAATCTTCTCAAGTGGGGGGTGGTAGTAAGTATCGAACCTGTTGATTTTGTATAGTTAATGGAGTTAGAGAGTTATATATTTATAAAAGGATGTAACTAACTAACTATGTGGTGCATAACTACTTTATATCTTAATAAGAACTTTCATATTTCAAAGTGGCAAGATTTTCCTACTGATTTACTACTAGGTTATAGGAGATAGGAACACTATCAAGCTCGAGTAGAGCATCAGCTGTCCTTTCTTTCTCAAGCCCTGATCCCGATAGGCATCAGCTAGTGATGCCAAGTGATACCAATAATCCTGACCTTTTTTTCCAGAGCCTCTTCAACATGGCATGTCTGAGGCTGGATAGTGTCGGGGTTTTCAATAACCTAACCAGGCAACATAAATTAGCGTGCAATGCTCTAAAGCAGGATTGTAACCATTAACCGAGGAAAGCCGTGGTGGATTAACGAATATCAAAGTCAATCATCGTTTATTTAGAATATCAACCTCCCAATACTAGTAGTTGATGTTTTTTAGATACAGGTAACCCTAGATCGCAAGGCTCCTAACTGTCATATCTGCTACATTAAATCTCCCCAAGTTCTACCCTCGTTGTCCATCGTTTTCATCCCTTCGTGTAATCCCTCTGTTCCATCGACTTCTCATCCTTCGGGGTGCATGAGATCTTTGAGGGCTTCGGCTCTCCTATTTGCGTCATAATTAGATACTACATCCACATGTAAACGTCCACTAATCTATTTTGGGCGGCGGCCTAGTGACTAATGGACCCCGGAAACTTCTTTTCTATTTATCATTTCACATTCCTTCTGCTTTAATATTCTTACCCATTCTATTGAAAATTCATGTTTTACGCCGAGCCTGTCTCATCACCGAGGTACATAACACTGAGTCTTCCTCGCCTTCTACTCATATTAACCTTGGAGATTGTCCACACACGATAAGATCATGACGTTCCCCGAAGGACCTACGAATATAACCTTCACCTTCAACAGAAAGGAGCCAGACTGTCTGGAATATAGGTCACGATACGTCGCTCGGTCCAAACTCGACGAGTTATTTCTTGCCGAGCACACTCTACGTGAACTAACGCAGCGTGAGGAATGGTTATACGATAAGGTTATGGCCTTAGAAAAGGCTATGGCTATAGAATCTGATAGGAAGTTTGATAGGACCCAACTTGAAAACACAAAGAACCAGCTTGAAAGGATTCAATCGCAATATCCAATAAAGGAGTACGCCCTTTATAAAGCAGAGTGTAGGTTTCACTCAACGTTTAAAAGCGACTATAATAGCCTACGGCGTGATGCTAAATGGTTTATGCGCGAAGAAATGGTTCAGGATTGTTCCGATCGAGGCGGATGTTGTAGTCGGGGATGTGGATGCTGTGAACAGAGGCATATGTCCAAAAGAAAGAAAGGTAGAGGCCATTGCACTGTAGAGTGCGGGTGCTGTATCGGCTTCCGAGGTTTCGAGCTCCCAGACGAACAAAAACAGGAGATGAACAAAGATTTCGAGACTATAGTGAAAGAATACAACTCGGCCCTTGCTATATTTTTGGCAAATTGCTTTTTTTGCCCGTTGGAATTGAAGCCTCTGGTGTCCAGTGTGTCTCGATGGCAACGAATGAAACGGGTTGTCTCATGAGAAAGATTGAAAATGTCCTGCTCTAGTTTGCTTGAGAATCATTATCTAAAATAATGGATTGCTTTACTAGGCAAATATGGTATCTGGCGTTTGAGCCACTCTTTCCGACAGCCGTTAGAAATTATTTACGCCTTTATCCAACTGCGGTTAGAGACTTATATTGCTTGAGACTCTATCTAGGGGATTGGGCGTGCTATCAATTTAATTAGTAGAAGAGAGCTACATGCTAAACAACGTACTAAACAACCTGCTAAACAACCTGCTAAACAACCTGCTAAACAACCTGCTAAACAACCTGCTAAACAACCTGCTAAACAACCTGCTAAACAACCTGCTAAACAACCTGCTAAACAACCTGCTAAACAACCTGCTAAACAACCTGCTAAACAACCTGCTAAACAACCTGCTAAACAACCTGCTAAACTGCGTGCTAAACTACGTGCTAAACTACGTGCTAAACTAGATCGCTTACTATTACTACGATTATACACTTCCCTCCACAATAACTATCGAGATACTTAAGGCTATCGAGATCCCTAGTAGGCTTTATATTCTATTAATTACTAGATCCTCGGAGAATCATCCAAGCTTGAGAGCACAATGCTTACGACGTTCGACAAATAAGAAAAATGCGCAGGTGACACGTCAACGAGCCTATACGTACAATGTAATTGCCATCTATGTGGAGATATGCAAGTGGGGATCGGGCACGGCCATGAAAATGGTGGCCTTACATTTTAGCCGGCGTGCATGCGGACGTTCGCACTGGCTCTAGACACGGTCCCGTGACCCCCGGTCGATCATTATGGATCTGATGCCGGATCTCAAATCAAACCCCTCGTTCGCCCCACGGAGTAACCACCCTACATTTTACATGGTGGCCAGCCGCCTGAATACACTTCATTCTAGTGTGTAGGAATAGAGATACGCAGCCACAAATTTATGTCACTCAATTGGAAAGGGCTCACATTCACGGGGGGAATTAAGGTGACAGCCTTGCAAGGAACATTATCAGAGATTGTCTACTACAACATGGTGGAATATACTCTGCAAGTAGGTACGATGTATCGGTCTTCGCCCCATATTGGGTGATCGACTAGGGGTTGTCAAGCGAATCATATCAGTAAGATATGGCCCCAAAACACCCGGCAAGAATTTTTTTTCGAAAATGAAAGTTCTGACATGCTTTGCCTTTATTCCAGATCATTCTCTACTTTGTAAATCGTTGCATATTTTTAACACATAAATAATCAATCAGCCTCTGTCCCAGGAGTTGCATCGGCTCTTTGGACTAGCATCCTACAGTATGGCCATAAGAGGAACTGGTCATCAAGGGAAAGTTCTGAAGATATAAGATGTAAATAAATCAACCATCCAATTGCGACAAAGTATTACATAGGCCTGGACCCCTGGATCTTTGATATGTGTTCGCTCGAAAATAAACGAACAAGCCAGGCGAAGTACCCTATACGGTTAGAGTCGTGGTTCTAGGAACTGACCCATAATACACGTGATATCAAGCGAAGATAATGGGTCTAATTCAACCAGTAATATGACGATTACCAGACTTCGGGACAATCTTAAATGCTTGGCAACAAATCTCTTCTTTGTCAAATGTAAACTTGTATTGATTCACATCATCAAGCATCAGTCCGACTTTTGCTAAACTGGAAGGAACAAGGAAGGAAAGATTACGCTCACTCACACTTCATCTTTCTCTTGTTTTGTCAACAAACATTAACAGTCATTCACTCACCACTTCGAGTTTGAATTTTCATCCAAGCAATTAACTGCAGTTTTTTTTTTTTGAAGAAATATAAAACCTTGACCATCATGGAAGGTCTTCAACTCAGCAATGACACTCAGTTGTACTCAACTATGGCTGGGAAGCTGGACTCCAAGCTCCTCAAAGCCCTTGACGTAATGGGGTTTACCAACATGACCCCTGTCCAGCAGCGTGTTTTGACCGAACTTCCAAACTGGCGCAGTGACTGCCTTGTCCAGGCCAAAACTGGAACTGGAAAAACCCTTGCTTTCTTGTTGCCTGCATTGCACTGCCTGCTTCAAGGTGATTCCGCGCCACCCAAAGGCAAGGTCGGCATCTTGATCATTACCCCAACCCGAGAACTTGCCCAACAAATTGCAAAGTCATGCGATCAGTTAACCTCGCAACTTCCCACTCCTCTTGAATGCCATGTTGCAGTCGGTGGAACGGCCCGAGCATCTGCTCATTCGCGCTT